GCGGCCCGGCGCCGGGCCCCGCACCGCCTGCGGTCGCGTCCTCGGAATCGGAGTCAAAGTCGGAGTCGGGGCACGGTCCGACCGGGGGCTGCGCGAAGGGGCTCGGCAGCCCCAGCTGAGCCCGAGCCATCGCCCGGCGCCGTCACGAGCCCTCGGTCCGCGTGCCGGCAGCGCCCAACCCGCGGCACCGCGCGCCCCTCCGGCTTCCGGCCCCCGGCACGAACGCAAGTCCAACGCGCTCCCGAGCTGCGCGCACCGCACTTCGCCCGCCGGCACCGCCAGCCACGCGGTGCGGCCCAGCCCGGCTGCGCAGGCGCTCCTGGCGCTGAGCCGCACTTATAGCGGCGCGCTGATCCCGCCCACGGCCGCCGTTCGTGGCTGCGGGCTCTGCGGCGTGGCTTGCCTTCCCTCGGCCCGGCGCCCGGCCCACCGCTCGCTGGCGATCGGCTGTGTTTACCCGGAGCTGATCGGGTGCCGGCAGGGAGAGCAGCGCGGTGTTTACCCAGCGCCTCTGCCCTCGTGCGTCTCCCTGCACTTCCGAGGGAACAAATACAGATTAAGGGAGGCAAACAACTCAAATTATAGCAACGGGCATCCAGCTCTGCACAACGCTCGCGGAGTCACTGAGCCGTGCTGCGGAGATGCGGACAGCCGAGGGGAAAGCACGTGCGGAGATGTGGGAGAGGGGGCTGGCAGTGCCGGGCCGGGCGGTCACACCCGGCAGGTATCGGGGATAGGACAGGGCTGATTGTGGCTCTGAACTAACAGAGAGCAGTTTGGAGCAGCTATAAGGAAGAAGTTCTTTACTCAGAGGGCGGTGAGGCGTTGTGCTGCTGCCCCGAGCGGCGGGTGCCCCATCCCTGCCGGTGCCCCAGGCCTTACAGCAGAAGACATCGCTTCTGCTGTTTAACCAGAAGGTGTGTGCCGGTTTGGTTCCCGGCACGAACAGTTGGAAAAAGTCAGAGGTGAGGAAGTTGGGTAATCAGAAGTGAGAACGGTGATAGAAGGTTGATCGTATCAGAATGCCCGTGTTCGGAAAGAGATTGAGGCCGTGGAAAGTCCTAGGGCTGCGGGGGAATAAGGAATAATTTGATAATGGTTGTTCAGCAGTTTTCAGAACACGAGAGCTGGGGGGACCAGGAAAAGGAACGGTGATAGAATTTTTATTAGAATCACAGCATCGTTAAGGTTGGAAAAGACCTTTAAGGTACCGAATCCAACCCCAACCCACCCTACCATGTCCATAACCACAGCCTTCAGTACCACATCTCCACGGTTCCCTGTGCCACTGCATCGCTGCTCTTTTTGAAATTTTTCTTAATATCCAACCTGAACTTCCCCCAGTGCATTTTAAGGCCATCACCTCTCACCCTATCGCTGTTACCTGGGAGCAGAGGCCAACACCCATCCCCACCACCTGCTTTCAGGCAGCTGCAGGGAGCACTGAGGTCTCCCCTGAGCCTCCTCTGCCCCACTCTGACCCACCCCAGCTCCCCCCGCCGCTCCCATCAGATGCGTGCTCCACAGCCCTCACAGCTCCGTTCCTTCTCTGAACACACTCCAGGGCCTCCACGTCTTTCTTGCAGTGAGAGCCCAGCACTGAACGCAGCACTGAATGCAGCCTCACCAGGGCCGGCACAGAGGGACGGGCAGCTCCTGCTCTGCCGGCTGCAGCACTGCTGACACAAGCCAGGATGCCGTTGGCCTTCTTGGCCCCCTGGGCACGCTGCTGGCTCATGGTCAGTGGGTATCAGCTCACACCCCCACATGCTTTTCCTGAATGCATCTTTCCAGCCATTCTGCCCCAGGCCCATAGCACTGCATGGGGCAGTTGTGACCCCAGTGCAGGACCTGGCACTTGGTCCTGTTGCAGCTCATCCCGTTGGCCTCTGCCCATTGATCAGCCTGTCCACATCCCTCTATGGGGCCTTCCTACCCTCAGGCAACTCTCTCCAAACTCATACTCTGTTTTCCATTGCATGCACAGGAGCTGGTGAGAGGAGCTGTGACTAATATTCAAAGAGTGGGCTGCATGATGCTGGCGCATGGCACAGTGATGCAGCCCACCCAGCAGTACCTGCAGAGGTTCTTCCTTGGCAGGTGAAAGAGATGGTGCCGTGCTGGTTGTGTCTTGCTGATAAGACAAGGGGGAATGGCTTTAAACTAAAAGAGAGGAGATGTAGATTAGATGCGAGATGGAAATTCTTCATCCAGAGGGCAGTGAGGCACTGCACTGCTGCCCAGAGCTGTGGGTGCCCCTCCCTGGAGGTGCCCCAGGCCGTGGACGGACTCTGGGCAGCCTCAGCTGGTGCCCAATTTAGTGGCTGGCAACCTTGCCTGTGGCAGGCAGTTGGAAACAGATTATTTTTGATGTCCCTTCCAACCCAACCCATTCTATTACTTTCCAATTTTACAAGTCTGTGAAATCCTGATGAAGGTGTTGCTGATACAGCCCCACATCTGGAGCTGAGGACTCGAAGCGGTGCTTCCAGTGCATCATCATCCACAGTACTGCTGCGAAAACGTTCATTTGGGAAGGCTGGATCTCCAAAGTGCCACAGCAGCAGCCATACTCACCCCAAACAGTTCACTCTGCCCACTGTTACCCATTTCTCAGGATTTTCTCTAATTAAGAAAATTCCAACAAGTATCTCAGAAGCCACCCAGAACTCAGCAGAGGATAGAGAAAGTGAAAGCAGGAGGCAGTGCTGCAGTGTTGTTGCCTAGACAGCAATCTGATGGCTCAGTGCTGTGTTATATGGGTCACATTAAGGCCTTAATCTTAGGACAAACTCCGAAGTCACTGAACAGTCCTGGCACGCAGGCAGGCTCTGCTCCACTGAGGCCAAGTGCCGGAGAAGTGAGGTCCCCTCACTGGTAGGGCTGCACCTGGGGACCTGTGTGCAGTTCTGGGTCCTGCAGCGTAGGGAGGCCTGTGCTGGAGAGAACACTGCAGAGCCACAGAGATGCTGACAGTGCAGCATTCCCAGAGAGGAGGAGAAGGGATCACGTTGCACTTGGAGATGAGATGGGCAGAAAGAAGGGAATGGGTCAGAATGCAGAGTATTGACTGAGAGAGCAGCAAGGCCTTTTGGAGGAAGGTGTAGGGTCCATTCCTTCTCCAGGAAAGGGCTGGGAAACCTTAATTCAGAGACAGTTGGTTGTATTTCCTCTTCTTGGAAAGAATTCTGACACCCGCGCAATGTAATTCTTGCGTTTTCCTCCTCCAGAGGTCTCAGTCTCTATCTCACCCTGCACCAGTGGAACAGAGCAGGGCGAATAGCAGAGCAAATCGCAACCTGCAGCTGAACTGCCAGGCAATACCTCGTGGCTCTCCCTGCCCATCCCTGCACGGCCACACTTCCTTCACTCCCCACGGCTGCCTGGGGAGCCCAGGGACAAGGGCACCCTCTGGAGACTGGAGAAAAGTCAGCAGTAAAACTCCCTGCTTCTCCAATCACTTCTTGGTCATTGCTGTCACGTTTTATTGCGCCCTCTGACATCAGTGCTGCCACAGGACGAGGTGGCTGGGCTTCTCTGGGGACGGCAGAAACTGCAGGGAGCACAGCAGCATCTTCCTTCAAAGAAAGAAACACACTGATCCTTTGAAGACCAACGCAAGCTGTGATCTGTATGGGAAACACTGCTTTGCACCGGCGGGCTGATGGTGTAATGGATGGAACGGCTGCATCCAGGAGTGGCCGACAAGGGGGATGGAACCGGTCAGAGCCTTCTGGCTTCCTACTGGTCTGTGCCGTAACTGAAGCACATTTGAGACTGTTTTGTGCTCAGAGGGCCGACTTGATGTATCTGCTGCTACGTGCCTGCTGCACAAAGCTTTCCCCTGCCGTGTGCTTCCACAGCAGCAGGACAGCTGTGCACCTCTGGGCTCCCTGACCCTGCACTGGGTGCACCTGGGATTTGGGGCTGTCATTTAAAGCCATTCACAAGGACACATTTGCTTTTCCAGACTGCAGACAAACAAAGCAGCTCACTAAAAACAACTCACTCTAGCTTGCTGAAGAGGACCCGAAAGAAATGTAATATAGTGATTTAACAAAGCTTTATCATTAGACAGCAGCTTAAGATTGAAGATGGCAAGGTGCACTTGGGCATTGGCTGCCTGGAGGGGAGGGCAGAGCGCACAGCCAGGGGGACACTTGGTCGGTTTTTCCAGCAGGACAATCATTTTGTGTGCCGCTGAAATCCTTCAAATTATGTGTGTAGATGGCTCCAATCACACCTCACAGCTCACAGCGCCCTCTGTTTTGAAGGTGAGAGAAGACAGAAGTCCTCACACGGACTCTTGGCTTCCCATCCCCTCCCATTTCCAGTGGCTGAACTCCACTGCCCTTTGCAGCACAGCACACAAGCTGTTAATTCATAGCTCCTTCCCAAACGCCTGTCCTATGGGAAAGCAGGGCTTCAGCAGAGGAAGCTTTTGAACACGGTGACCTGTGCGAGCACAGCAGAGACTTGAAATAGATGTTAACTCTTGGGATAGTTCTTTGAATACAGATTTACTTTGATACTTGACAAGCGTTAAGCCTGAAGTACAGAAGGCAAAGAGTGGGAATTTGTGCAATCCTGATCGAGAGATTTTAATCTTTCTACAAGTGAAAGTTGTGTTGTTTGTCTGAAGTTAAAGATGTCAATCAGCTCACACAGCCATAGAGATGCATTGCAGTTTGGCTGTTTCACATTTTATTTGAGGCACATTGCACATCTGGAAACTCCAGGTTTTGGGAGCAACTGTTCTGATTATTAACACAATTAAAATGACCTGGATCTGAGCAAAAGAATAAAGGCTGAATTGAGGAGCAGAAGAGACCTACAGGAGGGAGAAGTGGAGGACGGCTCATTTTCTTCAGTAGCTGGGACACAAACCTCAGCAAAGACCCATGACACATCAGGTCTGGCCATGGCACGTTTTACCTTTTCTACCCCTTTGCTGAGCAAGTCTTAGCCACAGGTTGGACAGAAAGGAAAGGAAAATGCAGCTAGCAGTAGGTAGCTGGTTTGATGAGGATGGCAGAAGCTCTGCAGTTGCCGCTGCACAGACCGCTCCACGTCAGGCCACCCTTGAAATTGAGCCGTACGGAATAACAGGACGAATACCACCAGCCGCCCCCGTTGGCGGAGGCACAGTTCCCGCTGTTGGTGTCCTGATCCAAGTCCTTAGCAGAGAACTTCATGTTGTCGTGCACAGTGGCGGAATTGGCTAAAGCCATGGCATCCCCCGCTGTGCCTGCGTAGGAGCCCAGCCGCAGCCGGTAGCCCTGGGCCTCGTCCTCCACGCTGAAGAGGTTGTAGTCTGCAAACTTGACGTTGTCTGCGTTGTCTGAGATGACGAACCTGACCTGGTAGACCTTCTGCTTGGCGATCTGGTGGATGTACTCGGTGCCCAGCCAGTAGT